AGATGAAGTTTGTCCATCCTGGACTCCAAGGAGCACTCTGGCTGCACTTCTTCCAACACATATCTGTTGGTTCTTTTGACAACCCATGGCACTTTCAATATTGTCCTCCAACATCACAACTCAAATCAATTCTTCTATGGTCTTCTTTATTCACTGTCCAGCTTTTGCATGCATATGAGATTATTGAAAATACCATGGCTTGGGTCAGGTGAATTTTCATCCTCAAGCTGATATCTTTGCTCTTCAACACTTTAAAAGGTCTTGTGCAGCAGAGTTGCCTAATGCAATACGTCGTTTGATTTCTTGACTGCTGCTTCCATGAGTGTTGATGGTTGATCCAAGATGAATGAAGTCCTTGACAACTTCAGTCTTTTCTCCATTGATGAGAATGTTGTTTATTGGTCCAGCAGTGAGGATTTTTGTTTTCTTTACATTGAGATGCAGTCCATACCGAAGGCTGTGCTCAGTGGGGAAATTGTGGCTGTTTTCTGAACTCTGTAGTGCTCATGATGAGGAGACAGCGTCACTGGTAGTTGAATGTCCTGTCAGGGAATTCAAGGGCCAGGAGGCTCATACCATGATATGCTGCATCAGCAGCTAACTAGTGTGGTCAACTTGTTTCTTATTAGATTATCCAGATCCTTGTTTAAACAGATAGAACATTCATAGAAAGAGTGTATGTGTGTGTGTGTGTTTTCACTTCCAGCCGATCCACAACTCATTAGACACCTTTAGGTTTCGCTCTCCTCTACACTCAGAACCTGGAATGGCTAGCATGACATTCTGGTATCTACTTAATTTCCCCACACCTTGCCTCTATATACAGGTTTCAGCTACTCTGTAATAAGCCTCCTACAAACTCATGCTCTCTTTTACTGGGTCTTCCTGGCTCTGCAGTGACCCTATGTTCTCTCAGCAGGTTCTGTTGCCTTCCCTTCAGCGATGAACACCCCCCAACCCCCACCCCACCCCTGCCACCACCACCAACAACAACACTCTCACCTTCTCCTCACTCATGTAGACATCCAAGGTCGTTCCACAAGCTCCCTCATTTTATCTTTCCACACCTAAAACTTCCACGGATTTCACTCACCTCAGAGGAGGTGACCTCTAGAAGTTACTCCTCCATCTGGTTTCTTCATCCCATGCCCTCCTTTCCCCCCAGGTCATCTGTTTATCACATTTCCACTTTCTTTGTCTCTTCTTCTCCACTGGCGCCTCCCTCTAAGACTATAAACACATTCAGAATGCCTCATCTTAGATAAGCAAATGAAACAAACCCCTTCTCCTTGAGTGAAAAGCAAATAAAAGCAGTTGACAGCTTTGAAAATGTCATTGTACCTTTGGAAAGATAAATATCCATTAGCTTTGCATAGAAACTTCTTTTCACTGGCCACACTCCATGCCTGTCCTATGCATTAGCAACCTCACTGGTTTTCCGGCCTCTGATCCCTTCCTCTTTCAATCCAACTGACCACTTGCTGTCACATGCATCTTCCCAAAATGGCAGCTTTATATGTATCACTTCCCTTACAGAATAAAGCACAGATTTCTTAGTCTAGAACTTATAAACATCTGCAATTTGGTCTCCATCCTCTCTAATCTTCTCTTCACTATATTTCTACATGAATTATCCACTCAGCCAAACTGCACCTGAACACACCACATACAGTCTGCTCTGCATGACTGTTTGTGCTGCGCTCCCACTCTCTCCTCCCTGTCCTTAAGTTCTACATGCCATCCATGTGCTGCTCAATTTCCTCTTGCCTAGAGAGAGCTTCCTCAGTAGAAGCAGCCCAGTAAGAACGTCCTTCCCGCTAAACGCGTACAACATTTCATAACTGCCCAATTCATTGGGTGCTTAGCACTAGGTATTTAGTTTTTTAAGTATATTTACTAATAGGAACCACATCTTATATTAAACCCAAACCCACTGCCATTGAGTTGATTTTGACTCATAGTGACCCTATATATGACAGAGTAGAACTGCTCCTTGGGGTTTTGAGACTGTGAATCTTCATAGGAGCAGACAGCCTCAACTTTCTCCCATGGAAGGGTTGGTGGGTTTGAACCACCAACCTCCTGGTTAACAGCCCATTGATTAGCCCACAGAAGCACCAGGGATCTTAGCATCTTATATTATCTTTCTTTATATCCTTCTTTTAATTAGCATTTAATCTTATTCCTATAGATGAGTGAAAAATAAATCTATTTATTTTTAGTTATTGGGTATTAGTCTCTGAAAACCTAACAAAGTAAATATCCAGGGCTATACATAGCTGTTGTGGCTCTATAGGATCATCACTGAACTACTAATTACAAGGTTAGTGGTTCAAACACACCAGCCGCTCCTTGAAAACCCTATACAGGGTTGCTATGAGTCAGAACTGACTCAAAGGCACTTAACAACAACAATATGCATAGCTGGAGTCCCTGGGTGATAGAAATGGTTAATGTGTTCAGTTGCTAACTGAAAGGTTGGAGATTTGAGTACACCAAGAGGTGCGTATTCTGGAACACTTAATTGTGCTCATGAGGAACCTGTACATAGACCAAGAAGCAGTTGTTCGAACAGAAAAGGGGGCACTGAATGGTTTAAAATCAGGAAACATGTGTCAGTGTTGTATTTTTTTTTTTTTTTTTTTTTTACCATATTCAATATATATGTTGAGCAAGTGATCCAAGAAGCTGGATTATATGAATAAAAGCATGGCATCAGGATTGGAGGAAGACTTATTAACAACCTGTGATATGCAGATGACACAACCTTGCTTGCTGAAGGTGAAGAGGACTTAAAAACATTTACTAATGAAGATCAAAGACCACAACCTTCAATATGGGTTGCACCTCAATATAAAGAAAACAAAAATCCTCACCACTGGACAGATAAGTAGCATCATGATAAATGGAGAAAAGATTGAAGTTGTTCAAGACTTCATTTTGCTTGATCCACAGTCAACACTCATGGAAACAGCAGTCAGGAAATCAAACAACATATTGCTGCACAAAACCTCTTAAAAGTATTGAAGAGAAAAGATGTCAGTTTGAAGACTAAGGTGCCTGACCCAAGCCTTGGTATTTTCAAAAATTTCATATGTATGTGATAGTTTGACTGTAAATAAGGAAGACCATAGAAAATTGATACATTTGATTTATGGTGTTGGAGAATATTAAAAGTATCATGGATTGTCAGAAGAACAAACAAATCTGTGTTGGAAGAAGTACAGCCAGAGTGCTCCTTAGAAACGAGAATGGTGAGACTTCATCTCTCACACTTTGAACATATCAGGAGGGATCAGTCCCTGGAGTAGGACATCATGCTAAGTAAAGTAGAGGGTCAGCAAAAAAGAGGAAGACCTCCAGTGTGATGTATTGGCACCGTGGCCACAGAAATGGGCTCAAACTTAACAATGGTTGTGAGGATGCCACAAGACAGGGCAGTGTTTCGTTCTGTTATGCATAAGGTCTCTCTGAGTTGGAACCAACTCAACAGCACCTAACAACAACAGAAGCATTTCAGAAGAAAGATCTGATTATCTACTTTCAAAACACTGGCCGTTGAAAACACTATGAAGCACAGTTCTCCTCTGACATGCATGAGGTTACCATGAGTCACAGCAATTGGTACTGGCCAACATAATAGCTACAGAGTTAGGCAGAAAGTTATCAGTTATTTATCTCTGTTGTACCTGATAGAGGTGGATGTTGCTGTAAATATGCTCCCAGATTTGCTCATAGTTGCACTGATGCAAACCTTGTGAAACCATGAAAGATGGTTGATGTGGAGTCAGCCTGACCATCTTTGCAGCGTGGTCCTGCAGCACTTGCATTACTCGCTCTGGGCTGGAAATCTCAAGTAGAACAGATAGTTAGAGAAACATTATTCACCTATTCCCAGCAATAATTTGGTCCAATTTTATTTTTATTCAACTAAAAAATAAAATTAAGCTCAAGTATCATGATTACCCAAATAAATTTGTCCATCCAGCACTATGTGAGGAAGCTTCAAAAAGTTCATGAAAAAAATGCAATGAAAAGAGAATAGAATTTCCAATATGCCTTCCAATAGAAACTCACTTCTGTGGCAGTCCTCTACAGATATATATTCACCTTTCATCTTTTCTGTGGTACTCCCACAGTGTGGTACCACTGAACAGAAGAATGCCCATCAGCTTTGGGCACAAACTCCATTCACTATTAAGAAACTGTCAGGAGATGGAGGCACAGAGTGGGAGCTCAGAGCCCTGACTTTTCCATTCAACGCAGTGCAAATCAACTTAACCAGAATAATAATATTGGAAAACTCTTTGATGGGTCCTTAAAAAACTTAAACTTAGAACTATCTTGGATTCAGTAATTCTTGAAAGCAAGTATGCAAACACAAACCTGTACACCATTGTTCATTGCGGCACTATTCTCAATAGTCAAAAGTGGAAACAACCCAGGTGTCCATCAGCCAATGAATGGATAAGCACAATATGGTATAGGCATACAATGAAATATTACTCAGCCATAAAGAGAAATGAAGTCCTGATGTATGTATACTAGACATGAAACCGTTGAAGACATTATGCTGAGTGAAATAAGTAAAACAGCAAGAGGGCAAATAGTGTATGTTCCCCCTTATATGAAATAGGCTAATGTATAGAAACCAAAGCTTATTAGTGGTTATAAGTGTGGGAGAAAGGGAGAAAGAGAAATCATTGCTTAGTGGGTACTGGGTTTCTGCTAATGGTGCTGGAATAATATTGAAAAGAATAATGGCAATGGTTGCACAACATGATGAATATGATCAATGTCACTGAATTTTACATGTAAAATTATTGAATGGGCAAATATTTCATTACATCTATTTTACCACAATAAAAAACAGAAAAATAATAACACTTCTTCTAAGATTGCAGTGACAATTCCTGGTACGTGGTAGGTACTGAGTAAATAAATGTCCTTTCTCCTCTTCTGACGGCAAAGAATCAAATAATGGTCCCAAGAGCCTTTACTACACGAGGGATCTCAAAGTTCATTTCATCTGAGCTGTTTCTTTCACAGATGAGGGTGCTAAGGCTCAGGGATCTAAATGACAAGACCAGAATCACACAGAGGCTGGTGCTTAAGCTGGATGAAAATCCAGCTCTTTTGACAAATTTTACTCTCTCCTGAAAGTCAAGAAGTTCATAAAAGTTTGGTGATCAGATCAGAATTTTTTTATTTTTTGTATAATTTTTTGGGAGGTGGAGTGGGGAGATGTACACAAAAGCACTCTGGAATATATAATTATTAAAACAACCACAGGGTACATTCTGCAAGCCTGCCTCCTGGCCGCCAACACACAGCCTTTCTCTTTCCATGAATCTAGAGTCCTCAGGTGCTGCCTCTCTCCTTGTCCCTATCTCTGCCTCCATCTCTGGTGTCACTGCTTCTCTGGATAGGGCCCCACATTCCACTCATGCTCCTAGGGTCCTCTGCTTTTGGACTGTAATATTATTCCCCCCTTTTTGTTACAAAACTTCTACTTTTACAGTTGTGTGTCGATGTTTTTTGAAGGAGAAAGAAAGCTCAATTTTCTGGGAATGATATCATCAATAATCTATTCTATAAGGGGCCCTGGTTAGTTTCTTACCTTGAAAAACTTTGCTTGGAGTTGCATTAATACATCTACTCTTCGCTGTTCTTTTAGTTTGGTCAAAAACTTCTTTTGCCAAGGATCACATTTTGGTTTAATCTAGTGGACAGATGTGTTCACACACAGTTATAACATAAGAGAATGATTTTTGATAAAAGTTGCAAGAACTGAGATTCAAGAACCTTCTGGAATGGCGTCTGGAATCAGTGCCACAGGTGTGAGATATGTCTTCTGTGTCTTCCAGGCTGGGGGGTGGTGGGGGGTGGTGGTGGCACAGAGCTCCTGAGCCTGGCCTCTAAGATGCAGTAGCCCGTTTGGAGCGATGCAGCATGGTCCCTGAGCAGAAGGCACCCTAAACTCACCAGTGTTGGACAATGTACTTGACAAGGGAAGTTTACCCACAAAGTCTCCATGTGAAGCCACATTTAAGACTTGACCTCTCACATAAGTGGTGGTAATGGTTTTACCTTGAAGTTAGTCCTGACTCTTAGCAACCCTGCAAAGTGTTTCTGAGGCTGCAAATTTTTATGGGAGCAGAAAGCCTCATCTTTCTCCCATGGAGTGGCTAGTAGTTTCAAGCTGCTGACCTTGTGGTTAGCAGTCCAATTCATAACCACTATGCTATCAGGGCTTTCTTTCACTAACAGGATAAAATTAATCCTGTGGTTGTGTTGCCGTTAGTTGCTGTCGAGTCATGGCGACGCCATAGGCTACAGAGTACAACTGCTCCATAGTGTTTTCTTGGATGTAATTGTAACTAAAGGAGCTCTGGTAGTGTAGTGGTTACGAATCAGTCTGCAAACCTTAAGGTCAGCAGTTCGAAACTACCAGCCACCCCGTGAGAGAAAGATGAGGCTTTCTGCTCCTGTAAAGAATTATTGCCTCAGAAAACCTGTACAGGGTCACTATGGGTCGGAACCGACTCGATGACACTTAACAACAACAACAACAATTGTAACTAAAGAAGGTCATCATTTAAGGAACACCCTTTTTAGGTATGAGTGCAGGGTGGGTTCAACCTTTAAGTTAAGAGTCAAGTGTAAAACGTTTTTGCCACATAAGGGCCATCCTCCACCACTCATCTGTCAGTTTTCCATACTGTGGTGGCTTGTGTGTAGCTGTGACACTGGAAGTTATGCCACCAGTATTCTAATACCAGCAGGGTCACCCGTGGTAGACAGGTTTCAGTGGAGCCTCCAAACTAAGACAGACCAGGAAGAAAAAGAAGTGAACTGAGTGGTTGCTGTTGTTAAGTGCCTTCAAGTTGGTTCTGACTCATAACGACCCTGTATAGGGTTTCCAAGAAGCAGTTGGTGGATTTGAACAGTCAGCCTTACATTTATAACTGACCTTGTGGTCTAGTGCATTACCCTGCAGTGCTACACCAGGAATGGTTTTGTTGTTGTTGTAAAGTGCTGTCGAGTAGGTTCCAACTCTGAAAACCTTATAAATAGCAGAGCATTGTCAGCTATACTGCTGAGAGATGAACCCTTTAGGTTGGAAGGCACTGTAAATATGACTGGAGAAGAGCTGCATCAGAGTGGGAGTGGTGGTGGTTGTGTGCTGTCAAATAGGTCCTGATTCATAATAACCCTCTATCAGGTCTCTGAGGAGCAGAAAGCCTCATCTTTCTCCTTTGGAATGACTGGTAGATTCAAACTGTTGACTTTTGTGGTTAGCAGCCCAACTCATAATCCACTACGCTATCAGTACACCTCTTCTCAAAGTAGACTTGACCATAATGATGTGAATGGAGCAAAGTTTTAGGGGATGTCATTTGACAATGGGATACAACTAAAAATTAAAGGAAACAGCTGCAAACATCTATGAATAATCAGAGTATGGAATATACAAAGTAGGGATATACTAAAAGTAAAAGTCATCAAAAATTAAATAAAAGGTATCAAGACCAATGTCCTGGGCATTAGTGAACTGAATGGACTGTACTGGTCATTTTGAGTTGGACAATCATATGGTTTACTATGCCAGGAATGACAAATTGAAGAGGAATGGCATAGCATTAATCATCAAAAAAAGCATTTCAAGATCTATCTTGAAGTACAGTGTTGTCTGTAATAGGATAATATCCATACACTTACAAGAAAGACCAGATAATACTATTACTATTCAACTTTATGCACCAAACACGAAAGCCAGTGATGATGAAATTAAAGAATGATACCAACTTCTTCATTCTGAAATTAACCAAACATGCAACCAAGATGCATTAATAATTACTGCTTATTGGAATGCAAAAGTTGAAAACAAAGAGGAAGGATCAGTAGTTGGAAAATATGGCCTTTGTGACAGAAATAATGCTGAAGATCGCATGATAGAATTTGGCAAGACCAATGACTGCAACTACCTTTCTTCAACAACATAAAAGGTGACTGATTATACATGTGGGCCTCACCAGATGAAATACATAAGAATTGAATTAACTACATTTGTGGAAGGAGACAACTGGGAAGCTCAATGTTGCTGTTAAGTGCCAACAAGTTGGTTCTGACTTGTAACGAGCCTGTATAGGGTTTCTGAGGAGCAGCTGGTGAGTTTGAACTTCCAACCTTGAGAGTCAAACCGACCTTGTGGGTCAGTGCTTATCCTACAGTGCCATACAAGGACTCCAATAGCAAGAGTTAAAACAATAGGGGCTGATTGTGGAACATACCATTAACTACTCTTATGCTGAGGCCTTCTACTCCTGTAAAGATTTACACCCTCGGAAGCCCTGTACAGTGTCGCTATGGCTCGGAACCAACTCCACGGCACTTAACAACAACATGCTAGTTGAGGCCGAAGCTAAAGAAAGTTAAAACAAGTCCACAAGAGCCAAAATATGGCCTAAAATATATTCCACCTGAATTAGAGACCTGATTCTGGGACAGATCTGATGCATTAAACACTAATGACCGAAAACCAGAAGGAACGGTAGGATGACATCTAAAACATTATACATGAGGAAAGCATAGAAAGAAAAGACCAAAAATGATGTCAGAAGATCCTCTGAAACTTGCTTTGAGAGTAGAGAAGCTAAAGCAACGTGAGAAATGAAGAAGTAAAAGAGCTGAGCAGAAAATTTCAAAGAGCAGCTGGAGAAGATAAAATCAAGTATTATCATGAAATGTCCAAAGACCTGGAGCTAGAAAAACAAAGTGAAAGAATACACTCAGCATTTCTCAAGCTGGAAGAATTGAAGAAAAAATTCAAGCCTCAGATTGCAATATTGAAACATTCAATATTCAAGCATTTGAGTTATGATGTTGGAGAAGAATATTAAAAGTACCAAGGACTGCTAGAGGAACAAACAGATCTGTGTTGGAAGTACAGTCAGAATGCTCCTTAGAAGTCAGGATGGTGAGTCTTTGTCACTTATACTTCGGACATGTTCTCAAAAGGGACCAGTCCCTGGAGAAGGACACCATGCTAAAATGGAGGGTCATCCTTTGAGACCAGAATAAACTAGACAGTTACCACTAACAACTGACCTAAAAGTAATCACATTAGAAGGTCTCAGATAAAATGGGAAAATATGTTGAACAAGACTCAATGTGACTTTAAAAAGAATGGGTTTACAGTCAGAAAAAGGCAAGAGGTCCTCGACCTCCCTTCAGGTCTAGAAAGGAACTCACTCTGTTGCCCAATTTTCAGCCACTCAGTAGATCGGTTTATGTGGGATGGGGAGGAGAGGCAGTGGCAACAACACTACTAAGGTATGCTCACCATGGAGTGGTCAATCATTCAAAATCAAAAGGGCAACATTTTCCTAAGGACAAAGTTGAGAAGGGATGGGAAGGTGGGTGGAATGGAAACAGGAACCACAGGGATCAAGCAGGAGAACTCTTTTTGCAGGGAGGGGATTGTAGTCATTGAGATGAAACAAAAGTGTGTGATGTGTTGAATGTAAAACTGATGATCTTGTCTGTAAACCTTCACTCAATTTACAATAAAAAGTTAGAAAAATAAATAAAGCGGAGGATCATCGAGAAAGAGGAAGACCCTCCCCCCACCAAAAAAGATGGATTGGCTTAGTGGCAGCAGCAATGGGCTCAAGCTTAACAAAAATTGCCAGGATGATGTAGTGTTTTGTTATGTTGAGCATAAGGTTGCTATGAGTCAGAATCGACTCTATAGCACCTAACAGCAACAATAATATGAGCAAAGCCCACAGCCTTCAGTATGGATTGCACCTCAATGTAAAGAAAATAAAAATCCTCACTACTGGACCAATAAGTAACAACATGGTATGGAGAAAAGGTTAAATTGTCAAACACTTTATTTTGCTTAGATTCACAACACTCATGGAAGCAGCAGTCAGGGCATTAAATGATGTACTGCATTGGGTAATCTGCTGCAAATACTTTCAAGTGAGAAAGAACAAAATGTCAATTTGAGGACTAAAGCGTACCTAACCCAAGCCATGGTATTTTTCAGTCATCTCATATGCATTTGATCATTGGACAATGGATAAGGAAGATCATTGAAGATGCAATGCATCTGAACTATGGTGTCGGCAAAGAATATTGAAAGTACCATGGACTGTCAGAAGAACCAACAAATCTATCTGGAATAAGCAGAGCCAGAATACTCCTTAGAAGTGAGGATGACATGAGTTCGCTCGTTCTTTGGACATATTGTGAAGAGGGATCAGTTCCCGGAGAAGGACATCCTCCTTGATAAAGTAGAGAGAATCGGTGAAAAACAGCACAGTGGCAGCAACAATGGGCTCAAACATAACACCAATTGTGAGGATGGTGTAGAACTGGGCAGTGTTTCATTGTGTTGTGCAAAAAGTTGTTATGAGTAGGAACTGACTTGATAGCACCAAACAACAACAGAGAGAGGCACAGAAGTATAGGAAACCTCCAGAGTAGGCAGATAAGCTTGGCCAACTTCAACATATGGTTGAGGCAGGCAAAAATGTGTCAGGTCCTGGGGCACAAGATAGGTTCTCCAAGTTATCTGTCCTGAGGATAGATAGGCCTTTCCTCTTGGTCCTAGGGGAAAGTCAGCTGAGAGCACAGAGGAGAGGGACGAGCAGGGACCAGATTGACACAGAGTTGCTTGCTTCCATGGCCTGACTGGAGGACACTTTTTGGCAGGTGACTGTTGTCACTGGTCACATTACCTTTATAAAGGGTATCCAGTTGGCTCTCTTTTTTAAGGCCATACTAGGTCCTGCCAAACCCAGATCCTTAGGTTTAGCCATCCCAGCATCATAGTCTGGAAATGTTTGCATCCTCTGTTGCTCCTTGAAGATGCTTTGAAATTTTTGAGAGACCTAAACAAGATAAAGAAAAGAAATAGGGGGCCCAGAAAAAAACAGCTTCAGATTGTAGGCAATTTCCAAACGAGCTACTGATTGCGTTTGAAATAGCCTTAGAGACAAGCTGATTCATCACACATTACTTCGGTAGTGCCAAGACCGTAACTGCCTTACTTGTGTGGCACATGGACCCTGTCAGCTCATGTGTAATATTTTTTATCTCCTCACTCTAAATGTAACTGAAACATAAAATGTCCACTTTGGGAACATTCCCTTTGTCTGACCACCTACTGAACTAGAAAGTCTAAGGGTTCAATTAATCCTGCTTCTAGAAGCCTAACCAGGCTACAGCTAGAAAGAAGATAGCTAGACTCTTACCTAAAATGGTGACTCATGACAACCCCATGTGTTTCAATGACTGATTTTTAAGTAGAGTGCCAGAACTTGATTTTCAGGCATATCTGGGTGAGTTCAAACCTACTAACCTTTCCAATAGCAGCCAAGCGCATTAGCCATTTGCACCATGCAAGGATTCCATTCTAATGTTGGCTCCAGTACATCCTGCTACCAAACCAGCTACTCCTCCCTTTTCCAGAGCAGCACAGACCTCCTGAGCCTGTGGTCACAACTTCGTCATTACACTGACCAGTGTGCCACATTTTCCTTACTGGATGGTGAGCTTCTTGAGGACACAAATTATGAATCTCAAGAGCTTACTGTAGTGCCCGGTAGCACATCCAGAGGGCCTTGACAAATGTTTCCAGAATGAGCTCGTGAATCACAGAGCTGAAGATTCCTTACTCTTCCAGTGAATGTCAGTAACTTCAGGGCTATGCAGTCTAATACGGTAGCCACTAGCCACAAGTAGCTGTTTGACATTTAAATTTCCATAAAATAAAACTTAAATTTGAGTTCCTCCTTTGCACTAGCCGGATTTTGAATGCTCATAGCTGCCTGTGACCAGCAGACACCCCATTTCTATCACTGTAGGGAATTTTGTTAGGTAGCACTGGGGTAGGACTGGGGTCACAGACTTTTTAAATAAAGGGTCCGAAAGTAATTATTTTCGCTTTTGCAGACCATGTGGTCTCTACCTCAAGTCTTCCAGGTAGTGGGAATGCAGAAAAAAACAAAATGGAGATGAGTGGGTATCTGCGTTCTGATACACATTGGACTACTAGCCCAAGTTTGACTGCCCTGCCTTGGGACTTAGAGTACCAGGAAAAACAGTACCCAAACAGAGGCATTTTTGGTATACCAACAAAGTGCTGTAACATGAGTATCTTGGGAATACAATAAGCGCTGCACAGAATGCTGTTACAAGGAAGTCACAAGTGGGGTTGACACCATACTAAGGGGACGGACATTCACAGAGGCGTGGAAACAAAGTTCCTTTGTTGGCGTGCTCAGCCCGATGTGTGTTGTTTGGCTTATCATTGATGATAGTCTATTGTGCTACAATTTATATATACTTTTTTATTTGGGATCTTTTAAAAACGGTGTCTTACTGCAATTCTGTGTTTTGTCTGTTATCATACCTTGAGATAATGAAAGTAAGGATTCTCCCATTGAAACACTCTGCTGAGGACAGTATTGTTGGTGACATGAACATCATGACCTTGAAAGAAACTGGAGGGCACAGGATACCACTGGTTCTAGTGAGCATAAACACTCTGCGTTTCATACTGATAGAAACAGTTCTGGTAAAACAATGCTGGAACAGATGCAGATGCAAGTGAAATATCAAGGTCAAGGCAAATGCTGATAGAGGAGACAGACTCCTTCTTCCACAAAGGGCATTCAGAAACACTCAGATTTGACTTCTGCTGATCAATCAATGTATTATTTCTGCAAATGCAGACACTAGTAAATAATCCAGGGAGTCCTGCCGTGGTGTTGTGGTATAACACCCTAGACTGAAAGGTCAGTGGTTCAAATTCACCAGCTGCTCCTTGGAAACCCTGTACAGGGCTGCTATGAGTTGGAACCAACTTGACGGCACTTAACAACAGGGGTAAGTGTTGGGCTACTAATGCAGCAGCCACACTGCAGAAGAAAGATGAGGAGGCTATCTGCTTCCGGAAGGATTTACAGTCAGAAACCCCATGGAGCAATTCAACTCTGTTCTGTAGATTCGATTTGTTGGCAGTAGGTTGGAACTATAAAAATATCTTTACTGTTGAAACACTTGGTTATTATCAGTCTGAAACTCTCAACCCAGAATTATTGTTTCCTTTAAAACATTAATTTTTCAAATAATGTGGCTTTGGATAATGAGTTGCCTTTGTTTTTGTTTTTAAAGGAAGTACAACACTGTTTTATAGTAGAGCAAACTGTATTGCATGACTTTAAACATCACACCAGGAGTCCCAGTGTGGTGCACTGGACTGCCAAGGTCAGCAGTTCAAACCCACCAGCTGCTCCTTGGAAACCCTATGCAGAGTCACTATGAGTCTGAACTGACTCAGTGGCACTTAACAACAACAATATAACATAGATATTATTCAGTGTGAAGCAATTTGACTGTAAGGAAAGCTATTGCAACATATTCTGAGAATTGGAAGGCTTTAGGCACTTGAGAACTTCGCTCTACAGACTTGTCAAATCTTGATTACATGTCCATTAGCTAATATAAACTATACCCTACATTTTCCTTTAAATTCTTCAGAAAAGCAAATCCTACAATCCCTCTGGGCTCTCAATATATTTCAGGTTCTCATTACTCTTACAGACTACTCTAGCTGCTAAACCAAACCCCGCCTACTTTTACTATACTGGAGTCCTGATGTGGCGCTATAGGATAAGTACTGCACTTCCAACCCACCAGCTGCTCCTTAGAAACCCTATTCAAGGTTGTGATGAGTCGGAACCAACTCAACGGCACTTAGCAACAACATTATTATATTTATCACAACAATCATTGTTGCTGTTGTTGTTGTTAAGTGCTGTTGAGTTAATTCTGACTAATAGTGACCCTGTATAGGGTTTCTAAGGAGCGGCTGGTGAGTTTGAACCATCGACCTTGTGGTTCAAACTGACCTTGCAGTCCAGTGCTTTATCCCACAGCACCACACCAGGCAGTATGCAGTAGAAATGTCCACTGTTGGCAGTTGTTGTTGTGTTGTTGTAAAGTGCCGTTGAGTCGATTCCGACCCATAGTGACCCTGTATAGGGTTTCTGAGGACCAGCTGGTGAGCTTGAACCACCAACCCTGGCAGGGCAAATATCCAGCTTTGTAACAAACACCAATCTTTTCTTTCATGAACATCTATGTTTGTATTAAGAAAGAGGCCATCAAGTACCAAGGAAAACAGTTCCATCTCCTTAGCAGTGTCCCTCAGCTCCTCCACATTATATGGGATGTTGAAATGGGAGAGCAGGAGCCCCAGCTGAGACTTTAGTTCTCCCGTTTCTGCTGTGTGTTGGGGCAAGATGAAAGCAGCTTCTGTCCTCAATGGCCCTGAAAGAGTCCAAAACCAAATGCAGTAAGACCAATGAGAATAGTCACGGAGACGTGAGTCACTAGAGATAACTGAAGGCAGAACCTCCTCTGCAGATGGGAAAGCCATTCTGCTCCTTGTCTTGCTGTCTCTGCTGCAGTTTATGGTCGACTGGGCATATATGACAATCCTTGGTACTGGAGTATTCTTACAGGAGTAGCTCAACACTTTGTAGAAAATGACTTTGCAGAAGCATAACAACCTACAGTCCTTTGTAGTTAGTGAAAAGTCTGGTTTACAATGTTGTTAAGTCTATTCCAACTCACAGAAACCTTATATAGAGTTTCTGAGTAGTGGCTGGCCAGCTTAAATTGCCAATCTTGCAATTCAAACTGATTTTGCAGTCCAGTGCTGATCCTAGCCAAGAGCTTTCACTTCCCTTCTTCGAGCTAACTCAGACTCATTTGTGAGGATCCATATTCTCCTTCCAGAAGCTTCTAATGCTCATGACTGGTCTGAGTCATGACCTCCCCTGGGTACTCTTGTGATAACCCTAAACATATCCCCAAGCAAGTATGTCATTCAGAATAGAAACTTGAGCAAGTTTCTTAGTCATCTGCAACACAGATAAGGGCAGAAAGAGTGTGTAAGATGGATTCATATGAGGAAATTAAAATCATTTCATATTAAAATGGAGTCCTGGTATGACACTGTGGGTTAATGTGCTGGAATGCAAAGTTGGTTTGAACCACAAGGTCGGTGGTTCAAGTTCACCAGCAGCTCCTCATAAACCCTATACAGGGTCACTATGGGTTAGAACTGACTCAACAGCACTTAACTACAACAATATTAAAACTGGAAGAGACACTAATCTGAAAGGTTTATTTTGGAGATAAATAGATTGAAGTCCAAGCAGAGGAAATGACCTAAACAGGCAGGCTCACAGTGAGGCTAAGGCAGAGACAGGTCTAGAGCCCAGTCCTTCTAATTTCAAGTCTACTGCTTTTAGACAGAATGCACCTTAGAAGTGAAGGTAGTGATACTTGGTCTTACACAGTTTGGACTGGAGAAAGTCATCAAGTTTGGTAAAGTAGAGAGTCAGTGAAAAACAAGAAGATGTACAATGAAATGGATTGACCCAGTGGCTGCAACTATGGGCTTAAATCTGGGAATGACTGTAAGGCTGGCAGGAGCAGGGAGTGTTTAGTTCTGGCTTACATAGGGGCACAATGAGTTGGAGCTCACTCAACAGCACCTAACAACACCAACAACAAAGGTGAAGATTAAAATATCTAAGGGAAGGGCTTATTGTACTTCACTTTAGAAAATATTAAATTAATACTTGTTTATTTTGAAGATGTAACTCTTGATTGTATTAAAAAATTTCAGTCACAATCATGTGACCAAACAGCCCATGTCACAAAATCTCAATCTTCTCTTCTGCATGTTACTCCAATGAAAGAAGACTAATTTCTTACCTGAGATGTTGGTATCCATTGGACCTGGTGAAGCAGAACCCTGGAAGCCAGGGTCAATGTCATGGTCACAGATCTGTTCATTTTCCTGACTAACCTCAGTGAGTGTGTCAGCAGTTATACTCAGTGCTTTGGAGATGGGCAAATATTTCAGGGCCTACAGAAGGGTACAAAGAAGAGGCCACACATCAACTCTGTTAACACGAAGCTTCTAGATTGAGTTGCAGGAGCAATGTTTTGCTTTGTTTGAGAAGGGTGGGGATAGAGGTGGACCTCAGTAACCTGCCCAACCATGTCTGGAGCTTGGAGAGCTAGTTCTGTCACCACCTCCAAATGATCTTAGACTTTGCCAAGTTTCCGTTGACAAGGCATTGGTAATGGGCAAGGCACTGTATGAGATGCTAGAGATATAAAGATGAATCAGACATGGGCCAACCTCAGAGAGTTCACAGTGAAGTAGGGCACACAGACTTATAAGCAAATCATTCTACTATCATGTGATTGAAGAGACATCAAGGTACACTTGACGGTTACTAGCTGGAATTGGGGAAAGGATGAAGTCAAAGATGATAGCCAAGTTTCTGAGGTAACACTGAGGAGGATGATATCACTGAGATAAGGCTTGTTGTTATTGTTGTTGTGTGCTGTCAAGTCAGTTGTGACTCATAGTGACCCTGTATAGGGTTTTCAAGGAGCAGCTGGTGTGCTTGAACTGCATACCTTGCAGCGCAAATGACCTTGCAGTCCAGCACATTAACCCACAGCACCACACCAGGACTCCAAGATACTGCTTAGAAGAGTAGGAAAGAATTTAAGTGGCAAACAAGAATCTTTCTAAAATAAAAATGTGATCATGTTGCTCTTCCCTTGATGCCTCTAGTCTGGGTTTGGGCCACTCTTGTGTGCCTTGTTTTACCCTGTATTTATACCTAGTCCACTTTTTCTTACCACATTGTATTTCTGTTGAATATGTACATGTCTATCTTCCTACCAGCCTGGATCCAGTTCCTTTTCAGCAGAGACCTTATCTTTATTGTATGGTCAAAGGCAAGTACCTGGCACATTTAAGAACCTCATTAAATATTACTGAATTAAATGATGACTCTAAATGGCAGTGCATAAATCCTGAACACGATGATAAAAGCCTGATCATATATGGTGCAGTGTCGTGAGTTATCCACGTCTGTCTCTTCGAGCCATAATCTGTAAATCACACCAAACAATGTTTCTACCCTTCTAGGTCTGAGTGAAGGAGTGTCGTAGTTATGAACTGGGCTGCTAACGTCAGGGACAGCAGTTGGAAACTACTAGCTTTTCCACCGGAGAAAGCGAGGCTTTTTGCTCCCATAAAGATTTACAGCCTCGGAAACCCTATGCAGGGTCACTATGAGTCATAACCAACTCCACAGCACATAACCACCACCAGCAGGTCTGGGTAAGAGAAGGTGGGGGAAGATACTGAATAGATGACATGATTTCATTGTGGATGTTAGAGTTCATTGTAATGATAAAAACTCGAAACTCTAACATGGGTTTAAAATTAGTCAACTCAAGCAGGAGGGGGGATCTCACTACCACCAAAGTAGAAAGGCCAGCAGGGGAGTGCATCCTTTGGGCCCTGAGGTCCACTGAATCTCCTCAACCCAGGGTGAGAAAGCTGTAATGGGAGAGGAGTAGCAGAAGAGCAGCAGCTACAGAACCAAGGTCAGAGTATGAGACAAAGTAGCTTCCCAGTCTGAGGAGCAAGGAAAGCAAAGTAACTTTGAGCAGGAGGCTTGCTTGCGAAGTGAGGTGTCTCCAGGCACGTAAGTGGTGGCGTTCGGTTTGATGACCCACAGAGGTAGAGCTGAGTGCCTTCAGGGTGAGGCCTATGGTAGAATGGTGTGCATTGAGGGCATTTATCAGCAGCTGACTGGAATAACTCTGTCATGAGCACTTTCTGATCCTGAATTGTGACCTTTCAACTTCCCTAGTAAACCCCAGAACTGTAAGTGTGGTATCTGAGTTCTGTGTGTCCATTGTAATAGATTACTGAACCCAGTTGAGTGGAGAACATTGTGTGAGGAATAGTTTGTTGTCACATATTATTGCACATTGTGAATATCTTAGGAAGCTAAATTGATAGAATGATTTTATTAAAGTAAGATAGGATTCATCTTAAAAGGCCAGTGAGTCATTCTTGGTCTTGTAATTTGTAGGACTGATAAAGTACTGAGACATTGACAATCCAAAACTAAGTGACAGGTATGAGAAACCAATGGGAGACCATTCCTAGCAGGACACCGTGTCATCGCACAAAGTTTCAGCGCTATCCTTACCTGCAGATAATGATGAATCATCTTGAGAGATTGGAGGTGACACACTAACCACCTTGTATAAATAGTCAGATCTTCCTGTGTCACTAAGTTAGGAGGATTGTTTTTTCCCATAAGGAAGTTTTCACGGGCCACAGATAATCTTTCAGCTCTCTGAACTGTGTCATTGTATTCCTGCATGATGTAACCAACTTGTTGCTGTTTAGGAGAGATACAAGTACAGAACTTGGTTATTTGCAAGCTTTATCCTCCTGCATCACTGTATCCAAATGGAAGGTAATGCTGTTTTGGGTGCCACCTAGGGAGTACTTGGAACATAATAGTTCTTCCATATTCTGAATTTAATTGACAAAGGCCACGGTCATATTCTTAGGATGTGGAAATGAGGGTCTCTAGCAAAGTGTCCTCATGTAATGATGTTTGGTAACTGGAGTTTGTTTCTAAGTTTTACACCTGTCACAGCAGAGGCCAAGTATATAGAGAAAAATGTATTTTCTATCACATAAAACCACCTTCAAATCTCAGTTTTAAAAATAGGTATCATCGGCTGCAGGCAGGATAGGCAAATAGATCTACCCAAAGATTCTTTTCTCATCTTTTACCATGACTTTAAAAATTGGCAAACATATTGATTCTTTTGTATCATTATGAAAAAAAGCCCACAGGTACATTTGTTCATGGGCTTCCTACCTGGTACAGAGGATGAAGTTGTTCCATGATCTTACTGTGTTGGCAAAATCTCTTCCATCTAAGCATGTGTAAATATTTACTCTGGACCAGCTGGGTAATTCGCTCTGTGTAATACTTTAACAGCAGCAACAAAAACAACAACAGAAAGTTAATACTTAACAGAATACAATTATCACAGGAAAGCTAAATTAAGTCTTAAAAACACTAGCAATAGGTAAGTCAGTTCCTGATTATCTTGGAAAGACGGATTTTTCTACATGAGACCATAACATTAAGAAGTCTGAATCCAAACACCATATCCCTCAGATTTAACTGAAGCAAATAGGCATTTCTAAATCTTTATGATCTGTTGCCAGGTCAACAGACTGTGGGTTCATGTATCAATTACTGAACAAATTTTAGCAGTGACGTGACTGTCTGTCAAATTGCCATGAGTTGAGCTTACATTTTTGTCTTAAAAACTGAAATTCTGAGTATGCAGTACTAAGCACCTTACAGGTCAGACCAGACATTTTATTTATACTTAAAAATAACAGTTAAGCCACTCTTTTTAAATGTCTTCTTCCTGGTAATAAAGATAGTGTTACCACTTCTATCTAGGACCAGACTTCCCCTTCTATCACAAACAACCAGAAAATTGGACAAGATCTACAAGGCAGCTGCTTTCTGACATTGAAGACCATGGTCCCTGAGAGAAGGGAAATAAAGGACAAGGCTGAGGCCTGGTTTTCTGTTTGAATGCAGTTTCTGAACTGGGAACTGGAAAAGGGATCCAAGTAGAACATGATGTTTTCTCTGAGAAACATCACAGAGAACTTCAAATGTGAGAAGGTGGAGCTTGCTAGAACATTCAGAATAGTGTGCTTGTGAGGAGGGAGCTATGAAGAGAAAGCTCCAGAAATTTGTATCGAGGGGCCCTGGAGTCGGTTGCTGTGTACTAAATTGTGAGGCTCAGCAAAGAATCACCAACTGAGGAACTATAAACTGAAGAGTTCTCAGAGTCTTTGCAAAGCTGGGAGGTCATCAAGCTCAACCAGCCAGAGTAAAGTGTTCTCAGTGAACACTCAGGGCATTCAGTGGGGGACATCACTTTAATAATAGGGATAAACTATCACTGGAATAGAGATTACTCTAAACTTGCTATAATGAAGCTTGAAAGCAAGCCTTGAAAGAAGCTGATCTGCAAGTAAATTAACTGCCTGTCTGAATAAAGTCTAGCACTCTTTAGAAAATCCAGTACTTAATGTCAAATTCACAATGCTCAGCATCCAATAAAAAATTACTACGCATGCAAAAGAGCAGGAAAACATGACACATAGCTAGGAGAAAAGTTAGTGAAAAACAAAAACAAAAAACAGATCCAGAAATGGTTGTTGTTTTTGTTAGGTGCCATCAAGTCAGTACCGACTCATAGCGACCCTATGCGCAACAGAACGAAACATTGGTAACAGTGATTAAAGTAGCAGACAAGGAAATGAAATGTGAATTCATTCTGATAGTTTTTATGTTTTATACTATGTTGGCCTAAAGACAATTTCCAAGATCTCTCTAACTTAGGCTACGCTGAATATATGAGATGTGAATTGCTCTTCAGGAGAATGTAAGGAATCCCTGTGTGGTATTGTAGCATAAGCACTGGGCTGCTAACCTCAACGTTACCGTTCAAACCCATCAGCTGTGGCTCAGAAACCCTAGACAGTGTTGCTATGAGTCAGAATCAACTTGATGTCAATTAACAACCACCACCACCACCAAACAGGCTACAATAAGAGATGGGATGTGAATTGTTCTTCAAGAGAATGTTGCATACCCACAAGTTATTTTGACCCTGTTTTCAAGGCAGTGTGTAATTCCTAGTAATAAGCTGGTGTTTAAGGAATCCATTGCCCATTGGGTCAATCCCAGCTCACAGTGTCCCTGTAGGACAGAATAGAATTGCCCCGTTGGGTTTCCAAGGCTGCAAATCTTGATGGAAGCAGACTGTCACAGCTTCTTCTAATGGAGCACCTGGCAGCTTTGAACCACTAACCTTCTGATTAGAAGCAGAGTGCTTTAACTACTGAGCCATCAAATCTCCATTAAACTGTAGTGTAAGAATCTGTAAGAGATTTTCTTCTTTGGAACATTTTTTGACTCTAGTGAGGAATGTTACTCAGACAAATTATATATTAAGTAAACGGATCTGTTTCTACTATTGGTTTAGCAGGATTTTTCTTTTAACAATTGCCATCTTTATGGATAATCTTTTAAGAAAAATTTCCAGTAATGTCTTTCCTAGATTTGCTAAACTTAGATTTTTAAGGACTGGGACTGTTTTAGCTAATGCTGTGTTGTCTCATATTACTAGCTCAGGGGACTATTTAGTAGACACTCAGTAGATTCACTTTAACTAAACTGCTTTTGACTATGAACAACATTTACACCAATCAGGTTTTCATATGTGCAAATTACACATGTGAAGGAAAACCCTATCCTGAAGGGACGTTCCCCACAAAGCAAGCTTTAGTCATAGATTTCTATTAAATTTCCCATCTGTTTTTCACACTGCAAAATGATTCCTACCTGCAACAGAAGCAAAGGTAAATTTTCAGGCGTGTACTCCCTTCTTAAGCAGCTCTCTAGCTCCCTCTGCATGACATCTGCCTGAACTACAAGGGGCTTTGACTCAGCCACCTGAACCCAAAGCAAACAGAAGAAAATGAGAAAATAAAATCATCAGTTCTTATGATAGAAAATGACATACAGTTTCTGGTACTTTTTATACCACACATAAGGCTATTATGTCTAACTTACTTCTCAAATTACAAATGACTAATTTTAACATCCCAAATCAAGGCACTATAAAATTTCAGAATTGTTTAAAATTTTTATTAAGTTCACAAAGTCAAATCTTATAAAATTGTATTTTAAAATTTATTAAAATTTTTACTTAAAAATTCACAAAATGTAATGTCTCCAAGGAAACAGAGGCCTGCTTAGGTTCAGCAGTGAGCTGACTATTGGGCTGTTTGGCCTTGTAACCTGTCAATCACCTCAGCTGTTTGTTTGCAGAAATAAACTTTTCTTGCTAAGCATTTTCAATAATTTATAAAAATTGAATTTTCTGTTGTGTTGAAATCTTTATAATCCCCTCTCTTACTCACTTGTAAGATTTTCTTCAGTGCCAGTTCCCTTTCTCTTCTGAAGTAAGACACATCCTTTGGTATCCGAACAGAGCTGCAAAAGATTTATGCAAAAGAAGCTCTAGAAGCTATAATAGATCCAGATCCAGATCGTAGGTAGATCCTGATCCATCATGATTAACCTGCAACCCTTCACAACTGCTCATTTCTGAACAAGTGGATTGTTGGGGGCACGGCAGCTCCATACAATAAGCACTGTTCAGCAGTTTGAAACCACAAGCGGCTCCTCCGGAAAAGATGGAGTTTTCTGTTCCCTCAGAGATTTAAAGCCTAGGAAACCTTATATAGGGTCGCTATGAATCAGAACCAACTGGACAACACTGAATAGTAACAAACAAAGGTTACCTGCTTCTGTCTTGGTCAAAGTCTCTCTTTTGGACACTTCAACATTTGTGAAACCTTCACTTGGGCCGATTTTTTCCCCCTTTTCCTCAATAACAGTCTCTTTCTACCCTTGATCTACTTCCCTATTTCCTACTTAAGACAGCAGAAAGGGGAACACCCTGACAGCAGTGAGAAGTTTTATTTCCCCCATTGGCATTATTCCAGTAACTCACCTCTAATAAATACTGTGTTAATCAGGTCTCTCTTTCAACCGTGATGACACATAAAACCAGTATCTTATAACTCAAACAAAAAGTGTTTATGATTGTGTTCTTGTTGAATTATCTGTAGGGAAAATGGCCTTAAAAAATCAAATGTGAAATACTTTGGAAATGATTTAAACCAGACTTTCTCCTTTTTGAAAATTAACTAAACTCTTTATAGCCTGGGAGAGCACAGTGGCTCTGTATAATAAGCACTGGACTGTGAATGACACAGTCAGAGGTTCAAGCCCCACATTGGGGGAGAAAGCTGAGGCTTTCTGCTCCCACAAAGATGTACAGCCCCAGAAACCCTATACACAGGGTCACTATGAGTCAGAACCTACTCCACAGCACTTAACTTTATAGCCCAGGAAGCACACTTAGGCTTAAAAGGCATCCTGAACTCTCCCAGCTAGGAGAGAGAGAGCTGTGTTCACACTGGGCTCAGAGACAAGCAGGCACACACAGCACTTCTGTGGGGCCCCCGAGGGAAGGAAGCAGAGAGCTCTCCCTATTAGGTATCTAATACACCCATGCCTGGCAGCTTTGGGAACAGCAGGAGACAGCAATTCTGCTGCAAACATTGCTGTCTCAAGATGGAATTTTGTAGACATTGGTGAGGAGTCCATGCAGATGGCTCTGAAGGCACATGAGAGACCACTTAGAGATTTTTAAGGGAATCCTAGCTGGTGAAATTTCCAGTAACAGTGTTAATGTGACCCAATCAGCCTCTGTGGATCAGCTTTAGAGGAGGATGAAGATGCAGTCAATTTGTACACATGTCAGAAATTCTACACGCCAGTGACCCTGTGGAAGGGTTCCTGGCAAGTAGGCAAGCAGGAGCTCCGTGAGCCATAGGAGACTCGGCCGCTTATTCAATCACTTTGTGTCAAATTCCCCCATCTACTGTTGAAGGTAATGCCTCCCTTATCTCTTGACATCTTTGCTTGGGTGGAGAAAACAGTCAAGGTTTAATAGAGCATTGAGAGTAAAATCATGTAGCTAAGGTACAGTTCTGTGATTACCCGGTACCTAGGACATAATTGGAGTCCTGGTGTGGCGCTGTGAGTTAATGTGCCAGACCACAAAGCCATTTGAACTGCAAGATTGGCAGTTCAAGCTCACCAGCTGCTCCTTGGAAACCCTATACAGGGTCACTATGGGTCAGAACCGACTTGATAGCACATAACAACAACAACACAACATAACTGGAGTCCTGGTGTGGCACTGTGTGTTAAAGCGCCAGACTGCAAAGCTCCTCAGAAACCCTGTACAGAGTCGCTATGGGTCAGAACCAACTCAATGGCACTTAACAAAAACAACAAGGACATAACTGGTGTGGCACTGTGGGTTAATGTGTCAGACTGCAAAACTGTTTGAACTGCAAGGTGGGCTGTTCAAGTTCACCAGCTACTCCTTGGAAATCCTATATCCAGGGTCTCTATGGGTCGGAACCAACTCGATGGCACTTAACAACAACAAGGTTATAACTGCCTAGTCCTGGGGGGGGGGGTGCTGTAGTATACGAACTAGGCTGCAAGGTCAGTTTGAACCTCAAGGTAGGCAGTTTGAACTCATGAGCCGCTCCTTAGAAATCTTATTCAGGGTCTCTAGGAGTCGGAACCTACTCAAAGGCACTTAACAACAACAAGGTCATAACTGCAGCCTTATAGAAGTGAAGCAGTAACCAACAATGGGAACAGGCAGTCAGAGAAACATAAGAAACCCACCCCTCCCTTTAAGGTTGGCTTAGCTTTCCCAACTGTCTCTAACACAGATCTTGTCTTTCCTCTCAGTTAACCACACAACATTTGTGAGTAACCTAAAAGAGGGCCGTCAACCCACAAAAACAGTCACTGATTTGTTTAGCAAGAATTGTTCATTCAACATATGTACATTCCTTCATTCAGCAAGCACTTAAGTAATGTAAAGTCTTGGGCTCCTAGGGTAAAATAAAAGAAAGAGAATGGCACTTGATTATAGCAGTCTTCATTGATTTTTCAGTTGAGTGGTACATGAGAATGCTGAAGTAATGATCAGCACTGACCACTTTCCACTGGACACCAGAATTTAGAATGTTGTTAAATACTGTCCAGTCAGTACGAACTCAAGGTGACCCTGTATAAGGTTTCCAAGGAGTTATTCATGAGTTTGAATCTTTGTAGTTGTAGTCCAGTGCTTATCCTCCCACACCACACAGGACTCTAGAATCTAGTATGGTGGTGGTGGTGGCTATGTGCCGTGGAGTCAGAACCAACTCACAGCGACCCTGTACAGGGTTTCTGAGGTTGTAAGTCTTTATGGGAGCAGAAAGCCACCTCTTTTTCCTGTGGAACAGCTGGTAGTTTCAAACTGCTGACCTTACGCTTCGCAGCCCAATTCATAACCACTACGCTACTGGAGCTCCTAGAATCTAGTATAGTGCCCAGCAAACCGAAGGTGCTCAGTCAGTATTTACTGGTTTAATATTCAGATCCCTTCAGGATAGATTGAGGGAGTAGATAAGTATGTGCACCCAGAGATTTTCCATTGCTCTGTTCTAAAAGGAAGTCTTCTGTATCACAAGAGATTGTGGGGCATCAGCTGCCAGAGACTCCACTATTTATGTTGTAATAATAGCAATACCTCATCTGTGCATGCTGTTTTCTGGTTTCCAAAATACTTTAGTATGCACAATGTCATTTAATCCTCACAACCTGGGGAGGTAGGCAAAGCACACATGTTCAACCTTGTTTTTCAAATAAGGAAACCAAAGTTTAGAGGAATTACGTAGCATGTGTGGTTCATTAATCTTTTGACTGCATCACACAATTCTTGGTTTTCTTTATATGTTTCAAATTTTGTTGTTGTTGTTAGGTGCTATCTAGATGGTACCAACTCACAGTGACCCTCTGTACTACAGAATGAAACACTGCCCATCCTGGGCCAACCTCACAATTGTTACCACCCTTGAGCCCATTGATGCTGCCACTTTGCCAATCCATCTTTCTGGGGTCTTCCTCTTTTTCTCTGACTGTCCACCTTACCAAACATGATATCCTTCTCCAGAAACTGGTCCCTCTTGACAATATGTCCAAAGTATAAGAGACAAAGTTTGGCCATCCTGGCCTCCAAGGAGCACTCTGGCTGCACTTCATCCAACACAGATCTGTTGGTTATTTTGGCAGCCCATGGCACTTTCAATATTCTCCTCCAACAACATAACTCAAAAGCATCAATTCTTCTATGGCATTCCTTATTCACTGTACAGCTTTCACATGAATATGAGGTTATTGAAAATACCATGGCTTGGGTCAGGCGCATCTTAGTC